TTTTTTTTTTTTTTTTGATCTTTTCTCTTTCGCTGAATTCTGAAAGTTATGGGTGGAATTTTCAATAAGAATTTTGATCGTGACGGAGATCTGATCGCGAGAGTTGGGTTCTGTTTGTGTTTTTGGAATTTGATTGGAATCGTAGACGGAATTACAATTCTGCTTCGGCATTATGAATTCAGTTTCTGTTCCTAATTAAGAAATTAAATAATTGGATTCGGGTTTACGACTCTATTTCATCATCATGTCTTGTATATATTTATATGAAAAATAAAAAAAATGTAGCTAAGAGGTGGTGTTGTGCAAATCCTTTGTTTGACTTTGGAGTTTCAATGATCTACCTTGTAGTTATCTTTCTTCTATTTTTGACTTTCAAGGAATTTAAGGCTTTTTTTTTTTTTTTATGGTTCAACATTGGAAACATTATATATGAGTTTTGCCTTAATTCAATTTTTGCAACTAAATGCTTCCTAGTTGGCCAGTGATTGCTGGTTAAATCCTGTTGATTTCTGAATTAGTTTCATGGTCTGTAATTTGAGAATTATTGAAGAGGTGGCTGTGGCTGGGATCTTTTTAGATAATTTGTTTTTTATTTATTCTGTCTTGATCATGGGTTTTAAGGGTTGTTCCTCATTTTCCTGGGTTTTAGCTTATAAATCTGCTTGGTTGCTAAGATAAAGCAAAATCTCAATAATCTCTATTCATAATTGGTTCTGAATTTGCGCTGTGGAAATAATTTCTGATTTATGATTGAGTGATTCATTTCTTTCTTAGTGGGGTTCATTGAGGAGGGCCTTGCAATTATTAAATTGCATTCTTATGGTTGATAAAATTTTAATTTGTTACCCTTTTGATCCAATGCCAAAGTAGCTGATTGGAATTGCACTAATACATGGTTTTCTTTTTCTTTTTCTTAAATTGATTCACAGTGAATTGGAGCTGGGAGTTGGTGCTTCTCTGTGTTTGATTTGTTCTTATTAGCATATATGCCTGAGATATGGTGTTTAAGAAGAGGTTGAGTTATGAATTTAATGGCTTCCATGTACCTAATGTACCTAGAGCTCCTCGATCAAGTAGGGTATGTTATACACTAATACCTGCAAATTTGGGCTGTCTATTGCTCTCATTAATTTTTCATTTGGAGTTCAATTCTAATGTATGAGTGATGATTGTTCCAGAGGAGGGTTTTACATAAGAGGACAGTTGAGGATGGTCAAATATGTGCAATTGAATTGCTAGCTTCTTTAGCTGACAAGCTACTGCAGGAGAGTGAAAGTTCTGCTTCTAGTAATGCATCTGAAGGAAATGATCACTCCAGGTTTGGTAAAAATGTTGTCAAACAGGAAAGGCAGTATGAAGATAAACCTTTGAAAATAGAATCTCTTGATCAGGGCAGCTGTGAACTGAGTGCTTTTGGCTCGGAATTAATTCCTGAAAGCAATGGTGATTTGAAGGAGTTCCAAAATGCTGAAAATCATGCCACACTGGAATGCATTCCAGTAATGAAAAAATCTAGTTTTTCAGACAAAGTTTCCAGTGATTTGAAGACTGTGATTGGTGGAACAGCTAAAATAGACGGGGCCTTCTCTAATGTTGGGGACTCCTGTGATTGTAAGTCAGAAAATAAAGGATTTGACGAAGAGGGACAGCCTAAGGGTTTGGACGCTAGAACATTGACTATGTCTAACACATACATTTCAAAGGATTCAATGGAAATTTGTGTGACATTTCCTGAATCCATTAATTCTGACAGAGATGTTAAATTGACACCACACAGGGACTTTGTTCGTAAAGCTTCCTTTTCAAGGCTTAGGAATGCTATTAAGCTAGGTAGTAGAGATGATGATGACAAAAACTTTACTAGGTCCAATAAATTTAGCAACAGGTTTAAGGCTTCTAGGCCTCCAACACATATTGGAGACCGAAGAATTCGGAAGTTGTTGACCTCCAAATACTGGAAAGTTGCCCCAAAATTGAAGGATTTTGAAGTTTCAAAAGCTGGTGAGTGCACTATGATTCTAGAATTGATTTTGCCTGCTTTTGTCTGTGAGTGTTTATTACAGAATGTTGTTTATTATCACATCAAGTTTATGGAACATGTTTTACTCCTTATGCTGAATTTAATGCTATTGACATTTATAGATAGAGGATTAAAGCCTCTGTATTGCAAGCGGAAAGCATTCTACAATAATGGAAAATATCAATATGACATATTTTATAAGAAGAAGAAGAAGTTCTGTGACTGGCACTCGGCAGTGACTTCTGATGGAGGGGTCAGCAATGAAAGTGTTTCCAACTCACCTGAGAAGATCATGAGTGGAGACAAGAGCAACTCAGCTGCCATGTTGCACGGAGGTGCTTCCTTACTTCTGTTATGTAGCTTCCTTTGCTGCATGGTTAAGAGATTTAGACTGTTGACTAGTTTTGCTAAAATATTTTATTCTTTTATGCAGCAAATGGGGTATCATCATCATTTATTGGTCAGCAAGCATCCCATCGTTCCATGGATTCTCATGGTAAATAGAGTTTTTAAGGAATTAATGGAAATCAAGTCCAGTAGTTTTGTTTATTCTAACGTGGTGATAGTTCTCATGCATACTATGCTTTTGAACAGTGAAGCTCAGCATTGAATCCTTTAGGATTCCAGAGCTTTTTATTGAGGTTCCAGAAACTGCAACAGTTGGTTCATTGAAGGTACTAAATTGCCGATGTCATTTTATTATCTCTTACTTTGTACGGCTTTTCAATGGGACTAATCTAGATTAACTGCTAGTACATGTTTACCCCAGAAATCAACATGGAATCCTTTATCCTTAAGAATGTCTTCTGTATTCCTGCTACACATTAATGGATGGTACGTTTCAATTATGTTTTTAACTATTTTTTTTACATAATTTTGAGTAGAGGACCATAATGGAGGCAGTAACTGCTTTACTTGGAGGTGGATTACGAGTTGGGGTACTTCTTCAAGGAAAGAAGGTTAGGGATGATAGCAGAACCCTATCACAGTCTGGTATTTCCTGCAAAGACAATCTGGGTACTCTGGGTTTTACTTTGGAGCCCAGTGCCATACAATCTCCTGCACCTGTGTGTTCTGTAGACCCTCCACCTCCATTGTCACATGATGCGGCCGAAAATGTAACAAGGTGATTTTGATGTGTCCGTTAAAGATACTAACCCAGAATTAGAATATTCTCTTAATATTGTTTACCTGTTTGATTGTATGCTTTACTGTTTTGAGAGTCCATGCTTAATATGCCATATCAGTCTTGAACTTTTTAGTAATAATGGGTGCTTTGTTTCCAGGTCCTTAGCCACTCCTCCTGTAGATTCAGGCATTTCTGAAGCTGTACCTGAACCACCTTCACTAACCAATCCAGAAAATCCTACTGATGGTAACCAAGAACCTGTTTCCTCAGACACTGACATACTGACTGACCCAGGTCTGCCAGAATCAAAAGCTCTTGTTCTGGTTCCAGCAATGAATGGTGAGGCACTAGCTGTGGTTCCCTTGAACCAGAAACCTAAGAAATCGGAGCTTGCACAGCGCCGTACCAGAAGGCCATTCTCTGTGACAGAAGTTGAAGCACTAGTACAGGCAGTTGAGGAAGTTGGCACTGGAAGGTATTCTAATCTATGCTGCTGTTCTGATAACTTTTTCTTTAAAATTACTGGTTCCCTTGATCACTATTTTTCATCTAGAAGGGGGGGATAGCCATTGTTTTTACTTGATTCCTGAAGAGGATGTGACTTGTAATGATGTCCTAAATTGAAATTTTGTCACCATGTAGGTGGCGGGATGTTAAATTACGAGCTTTTGAAAATGCTGAGCACCGGACCTATGTGGATTTAAAGGTAACATGATCTTTATAATATGAAAGTTGAGAGATGATATATCTACAGTTTTCAAAGCATCTCTTTGATGATGTAAGTAGGATTTATGACACTCTTTTGATAATTGACACATTCAATACATGTGTGATGACAGGATAAGTGGAAAACACTGGTTCACACGGCAAGGATCTCCTCTCAGCAGAGAAGGGGAGAGCCAGTGCCGCAGGAACTGTTAGACAGGGTTTTGGCTGCCCATGCTTACTGGTCACAGCACCAGGCCAAACAACAAGGCAAGCATCAGTCTGGAACTCTGAAACTTACAGAGACCTCTGATAGAAATGAAGCTGGAGCAATTCAACTGCTGATGTAGAGATGGAGGTAAAATTGACAGGAACAGGAGACAACAAATGTACAAATGATGATTCCCGTTCTGATTCAAATTTATGTAATATTCTCACTTACATGATTCATTGCGGGCTTTTCCCCACCGTGGACAGCTTGGCAACTGTAAATGACAGAAAATAAGATCATTCTAACCAAACTCATAGTTGTTTCCTTTAAGAGTTTAGAACAATTCAATTGATTTTTTTGTAATTCATATATTTGAACTTTTGTAAAAGAAAAATATGTACTAGTAATTTCTTTTGATTTTCATTCCTGTGTATCTCTTTCATTTGTTGCTATTATTATTATTATTATTATTATTATTATTAGAGTCTATTGAATAAAGGTTTTGCTTTTATCTAAAGATTTATATTTTTCAGTTAATACAATTTAGATGGTAAAAGAACGGAACGTCAATGTGATTAATATAAAATGTCTATTAACAGCAAAATCCATAGCAAATCCACAC